TGGAGTTCAAAAACGCAAAGCTTTGTGGGAGTTGCTGTCGGTTACGGTAGTCTATTGATTTAAGTTAGCCAAAGCTTAGGCCTAAGCTTAAGCCTAAGCCTAGCCTAAGCCTAAGCCTAAGCCTAAGCCTAGGCCCAAGCCCAAGCATAATCCTAGGCAGGTGAAAAATTTTAGATTTTCCTGAATTAAACGATACCGGAAGTTTCCGGGTCCATTTTTCGCTCCACTCACTCTGCCCGAACGTCCCCAAGGTCCACCCACCAGGGCCACCCAAAATTGGCCCCGGACCGCCTCGTACAATTAGGGTCCTAAATCGGGCCCCAGCCTGGACCCGATGCAAGCGTCCAACCTCCCCTCCACTTCCATCCACTTTTTTGCAAGGCCCCAAAACGAGCCGCCGGAAGACTCCGCCCTGGCTTTCCCCCCGCTGACTAGGCACTTTTCCGGAGATCCACCCACCCGCCTACCCATCCTTGTAAAGCGCCTTGTTTTGCCCCAGGGGTTGCATGCTTGGGATTCCGCGGAATGCCTCAAAACGCTCGGGCGCCTCCAGATTACGGACTAATGCCGCAGCACTCTTCTCGCGGCGCCGGGCCCCACTCCAGGAAATTCAAAATTTCGCGGGTGTCTGGATTTCTTTGAAAATCCTGTACTTGTGGTATCTTAAGCGGTACGCGGTACGAATGTCTGAGTCACCTCCATGCGTTCGTAAATTTTCCGGGGTTAGCGGGCTAGGCCCGCTAACCCGTTTTAGTTTGAGGTTTTCGTTTTGCTTCTATTCACCGAATTTTGGATTTTGTGATTCGATGAGTTGGCTTCGCTTACTTATGCTTAGCTTAGGCTTTGCTTAGGTTTAGCTTAAGCTTCCGCTTATTGCCCATCCCAAGCTTCTAAAGAAAGCTTCGATTCTGGTTTCCTATCCCTCCAACAAATACAGCCATACCAGTTTCGGTCCGTGTACATCCCCACGTGCCCGACCTTCACGGACAAGTGGTTTTCCTGGAAGCGCTTCTGCTTGTTTTTTCCCCTTTTCCCATGCCCAAAACATCAATCCGGTTGACAACCGGGAAATCCCGGGCTCTTGCTCGCTGCTTCTGCTTCTCCTCCTTGCTTCTGGAGCCGCCAGAAAAGGCAAAAAAGGGCTGAACCGGCCTCCCTGGGGACCTTCTAGGGGCGATGGGAGCAAAAGCCGGCGGATCTCTGTGACTATTACTTTTTGGGAGTTTTAGTTAGGTAGAGTTTCGCAACTTGCTTTTTCTATATTTTTATTTTATTTTTAGTCTTAAGGTTTCAGGACTTGATGATGAAGTTTAGCGCGCTGAGAATTTTCAATTTCTTCGGTTTCTCCGATTTTCAGGTGTTCGTCTCCCGAATTTTCTGCATTAAAAATTTTGAAAAATTAGGGAAAGCTTAGCTTTTAATTTTTGTGTTCTGTTTGATGGCAATGTGCCCCTCAAGCTACCAATTTTCCGGGCGAACCCTGAAATTTTCGAAACTCCCAATTCCTTCCCAATTTCTTCTTTTTTCTTCTTCTTAAAACACATACACAATATTTGCTGTGAATTTCATCGTTATATCTTGATTCCAAATTTTATCGGATTTTTAAGATAGCGTGGGACCGCAAAGCTTCAAGGGCGGAACCAGTTTAGTTTTTTCTCAAAACACAAGCACATTTCCCACTAGTAGATCCTAGTGCATAATTTTATATTTGCATCAGGGTCTCGGATTTAATAAAACTTTAGGATAGCGTGTCAGTTATCAACCAAACGGTATCTTGATTCCTATCAACAAACAGTACTTCTTGCCCCGAAGTTTTCTGCTTTTCCTTTTCTTTTGATCGTCGGGTACCCGAGTTTATCTTTCAGCTTTTTTTGCGATCTCTAACCTCCCCAAAAAGCGCACTTAGCTTGACAGCTCTTCGAGCCCAAGCCCCACGACTCCGGTTTGGCACAAAGTGCGCTTCCACGGCTCTTCTAGCCCATTTAATTTCGTGAAAAACTGCCTCCCTGACTTGACAGGGCGCGCAAACTTACCCGTTCCACCCCAACGCCCGGCTGAAACTTATTTGCCCGGGTAATCGGTGGGGGACCTGACTCGGAATCGAGAATTTTGGGTATTGTGCCCGGGCACACCTCTCAAATATACCACCCCCCCCCCTCGATTATTGACAGCCGACCGGGTCGGAGGGGTGCGATTCTGTCACGGCGAGAAATCGTAGTGAGGGTGGCTTGGACCGGACGCCAGAATTGGCAGCAAGAAGCCATTGCGTTTATTGGCTTTCTCGTAGCTTTGGTACTCTTTGGGTGACTGTGGTTCTTCTACCGGATTTGCCTTTTTTACAAGCGCTTGATTTTTTAACCGTAGTCCTATTCGTTGTTTTTATAGCTTTTTGGCGATGAAATTGAAGCATAGTGACTTCTAAAAAGCATGTTAGTTATATAACCGCAGCAAAATTCAGAACATGGGCGTTTGGGGAACAAAATGGAATTTCAGGGTACGGTGTTCGCTACAGTAACCTGGAAAATCTCGAGTTAATCACCTGCAATTTTTTGGTACAGTACTTCACTACAACGCCATTTCAAAGAAAGACCAAAAACGATTCCATCACGTTTGTCATCAATTCACAAGGCGAGGAACTTACCATATCGTTCGTTTGGTCTGCCGAACGGAACGCAATTTGAACCGTACGAAACACCTCATTTTTCCAAAAATTACCTGATCGAATTTTTCGTTAAAACGGGTTTAGTACGGGCTTTCGTAAAGTAGTGCTAATGATACCCCAAAAGCCACAAAATTTGAAAATATTGACAAAATAGCCTCCCCAATCTTTCTGGTGAAGTCTTATGCTGGGGGCTCTGGGTCTGGAGGGATTTCTTTGGGGTCGCCGGTGGGCCAAATCCGCCAGATTTCGGCACGATTTCGTAATTTACGTTTTCGAAAACTGGGTCGGCTTTGTGTTGTGATTGACAAATTTTTATTGACTATATATGGTTCGTCAGGTAGTAGACCTATTTGTTTGGTACTCTATGCTGGTACAGTATGCTCCTAGTACCAAAGGAATTTTGCACTTAATGAATTTTTTTAATATCGCAGAGACGCTTTTGGCCGAAACATTTTTCCCAGGTTTCAAATAACTTTGGATTTGATGACATTTTTATATAGAACCTAAACGGTTTTTGGCCGGGACATTTTTCTCAAGTTTCTAATGATTTTCGATTTAATAAAAGCCTTGATATTTTGTCGGAATCGAGAAAATCGCACGTCTTCTGGGTCGGAGATCTTTGCCTTTTACGCTACGGCATTTATCGTGTTCAGAATTTTTCATTTCCAGCAGTTTTTTCCGGATTCTAAGAAATTCACGACGTTGGCCAGACATCCCGATCCTCCATACCCCAGCCGGACCATCAAAAACAGCCCCGCCTCCTTGGCCCCGGGCAGGGTGGAGGCAGATATTTTGCCTGGGACCAGGCTGGGGCCCATTTGTCTGATCCGGTTTTGAATTGGAATTGTGGCACCTTGGCAGGCTGGCAAATCGGAGGATTTGCAGATTTTCAGTCTCTTTAAGAGCTCCGGAATTTTTGATAAATATTTTCTGGATCAGGCCATTATTTCGAATTTTCTTGCCTGGCTTTAAGCAAAATAGCATGCGTTATTTAGTTTCGCCACTTGCCAAGTTTTTATGGGTATTTAGTAAGCTTTATTTCTTGATTCACAGCGCAGCTTGATCGTGAATTTTAGAAGCTGCAAAAATACTTATTAGAATTTTGTGTTTTTCGTCTAAAAAATTATTTGTTGAATGGACTCTATAAAATCTATTACCCGTTTATTTTTTACGATAACATCTATGACTTTGAAAAATTGTCAGCGCCTCCTATCATCGGTTTCTTCAGTTTTTCGCTTCCATAGCCCTTTAAAACCCGCAAAACCGAGCCAAAATTTTTAATTCCCAAATTTCCTCATCATATCATCAGACGTTCCTTTTCTTGCCCTTGAAACAAAAGACATCACTTTAAAACAATTTGTCTCTCTTTCTTTTTCCTTTTCTCTCTCTCTCTCTTTCTCTCTCCCCGCTTCTGATGCCAGATGATGAAGCTCATGGTCGATTTTCCGACACAGTGACGGCCGTTGTTTGTGTATTTTGTCGGCCCCAAACCCCCCGGTCCACGAAAAGGCGCCGCTTTTATTAGAGGGCGGAGACAGACTGTTGGTTCGAAAAAATATTTATTACCAAACTTTCCGGCGGCCAGGACGCGTTGAAATGACCCGAAAGGTCAACTCGCGCGCGTCGCGTTGTATTATCCTTTCCGAACATATTGGGCATATTGGATGAAAATAGGCAACTACGAAACAGCTGACCACACAGTGTTCGGCTAATTTTGGGCGGTGCTCTGGACATTGCTGTAATTTGGATTGACGTGTAGTTGAATACACAGACTTTTCTTCATTATTATTACTTCACAACATCTATTTAAATTAACTTTTACTTAATTACTACTTTAATGTTCAATTCGAATTTTCGAAAATGAGTTTAATAGCCATATTTGGTCACTTTTCCTTTAGGAAATCTTTGCGAATTTGTCTGATTTTTTGCAGAAAATTTGTGTCTTAGTAAATTTTATATTTTTATCATAGTAAATATACATTAATCTATATTCTACATTCAGCCTCTGTTAATGATGGCTATTAACTTAAAATCTAATCAAAACTCAGCAAAATGAGTGTAAAATAACTTGAAACTTTGCGCATTAAAGGTATCTATGTTTGAAATATTTTTTTAACGTAACTCCCCAAATATTATTTAGTGCCAAATTTAAGGCTACACTCTACATCCAAATCCCCGATTTCCTTCGCTTAATTCCAGACAATTGCTTTTTCTGAAAATCCGGCCAACTTCTCAGAATTCTCCGATCATTCCCATTCCACTGAATTAATGATTTCAGAGCTTCTAAAACGTTGAGCTTTTCCCAGAATTATCCCCTGCTTTTTCAGTACTGTCGTGCATGTGCTCGATGGTGGAGCGCGAGCCGGAGGTGGGACTCCTCGGCGACATCGACGCCGAAGCCACCCTCACCCTCATCGATTCAAACAACAATAAGGACAAGATGCGTGCCAATCAAATTGCAGGTTGGTTTTAGGAAGTTTAAAATAGGTGAAAAATGGTCTTATTTGCGCGACTGATCCATAATACCGAAATAACGCTTTTTTACGTTTGCCGTATTTTCTATATCCTTCGGAAGCGGCGTTTCGTTGCGTATTCAACGAAAAAAAACACCGGAAATTAGATTAACCTGCCCCATCCCCGAAATTAAATTATATTTTGGTTCTCCAAAAACACAAAAAACCCGCACTTCCCAAATCCCCTCCGCAAATGTCCTCACAACGAACGCGCACGTACTGAGAACGGTTGGAGCAGTCAGGGTGACGCCAAGCCTCTCCCTCGAATTCATCGAATTATTTACGCGCCCGATTAGATGGGATGGGTTACCCGGCGGCCTCGAGAAGCCGTGTGGTTTGGGTTTCGGATTGGTCTTTCCACGCTCGGGGTATTCGGGTTTGCGAAATTCCTTACCTATTCCGTAGGTCTTTGCTAAAAATTGCCCATCTTCCGGGAGTTTGCTGATCGGACGATGGGGGTGCAGAGAAGTACGGCGTAGTCTTCTCGAGAGTTTCGGGGGGATTTTCAGGTATACTTTTTGCGCTGAACCATAGTTTTTTGGGCTTGAGGGTACTAGTGAGTAGATTCAAGGTATCTTAACAATGATATACTCAAACCTAGAAAAGTGGTAAAACAATAAATTTCGTTTTAAACGATTTGCGCAAAATTTTACACTGTTTCTTCTTTAAAAAAAAAAAAAAAAAAAAAAAAAAAAATTTTTTGGAAAATGACATAGAAGCCTAAAAACTGATAACCCCTAAAAATGTCATGTTTAAGCTTCAGTTTTTGCCCGATGTTCATTTTAAAGACTGATAATCTTTCACGAAATTTTTTAAATTGTTTACTTGAAGATTCAAATCCCCCTACGCGACGCTCCTCCGAACACCCTCACCTGTCGCCCGCCCTGCAGTGCTTTTGTCATTTTATGGCACCGGCAAGGGCCTTTCAAACCCATCTTTTTCTCAAAATTGGGCCCTAACGCCCGACCGGCCAGACGTCCAGCGCCGATCTCTCATCTACGTGGGTCCAAGGTTGAGTCGACCTCGGCTTTTCAAATCTCTAGTTTTCCTACTTTCCGTTTTCTTCCTCGCCTTTCGCTTCAAATCCTCTGCAATCTCGGCGACTATCAAAACCAAACCACCTCCTATGCTGCTCTGATAATGCATCACAGGGGTTGTGTGGAGAGGAGGACAAACAGTAGCCCCGGCCTTCTTGTGCGTACCCCTCAGTCCCCCCCCCCTCAGTACAGGGCGATCCTCGAGACGAGGAGGGGGGGGGAACAGTTCGGAAGGGGGAAGGGATTCAGTCCTTCCCCCTCGCAAACCCACCAGTCCGTTCTTTCTTCTTTCCCCACTTTCCCTTACACGCCCCCGAACGGCGGTCGCTTTCGTTGGGCGCATCCCGAAAATAGGCACTGTGTTATGGATTCCTGGGTTTTTGGGGGTTTACGATCCCTTTAAAATACCATACCTCCCGAAACAATTGAATTCATTGAATCCTTTTTTGTTTCAAACTTGGCAAGTCCTTTAAAATTGCTAGAACTGGATTTTCAAGGATTTTCTTGACTTAGCAAACCCTTTAAAAGCCCTACCTACCCAAGGAAGGCGTTTTTGACTTCATCGTTCCTTTAAAGCCCAAAAAAAACTTTTCAGATTCTCCTCGCTAAATTGCTTCAAAGCGTTTTTTCTGCCGATTTCACCCTTTTTTGACTTCACAAGCCCTTTAAAATCTCTAAAGATCGGTTCAACAGGCTTTTCCTCGCTTCTCTGCCCCTTTAAGTGCTTTGAATTCATCGTAAGCCTAAGAAAAGCTCTAGATAACGTTCCACGTAAACTTTAAAGTCACCCTCAATTCAAAAACACAGCTTGTACCATAGTCCATTCCAATCCATTCCTATCGCCCACCCAGCGAGAACCGTCCACTTTCGTTCTCTCGGCCACCCCATCCAGGGCGATACCCCATTCCTCCGGGGATCCTTCCATTCCGTCCCATTCCATACCCATCCACCCACTTTCCCGACGACGACGCAGCCCTACAATAGCCCTCGTAAACCCGTGGCATATTTTTGAGTGTGGGTGGAACACGTTATTGGGTGTCTGGGGATGGGTTCTGTCCTTTTACGATTACTGTATTGGGTGCAGGTTTTAGTTTTTTCCGCTTCTGCTTCCGTCCCTTTAAAAATATTTGGCCAGGCAGGGTTATAGATTTTTGGCCAAAGATTTTCTACGGATTTAGCTACGCGCACGATACGACGCTAAGCGCGCGCTCTCTTTTTGCACCGGTTCTGCATTGCGTGATGGATTCACGTTTCCAAGCATAAAAAAACTTTCAAAAATATTTAAAATTTTATAAACTCGAATTTTGAAAAGATTGCTGACTTCTTCAAATTTGCTCGTCAAAGTTGCTAAAAATTTCGACCAAACACCCTCAAATTTTGGCGCTAATTACTTTCATATACCGCGACATTTTGGCGCACCGTCTTCCTTTTTTCGTAGCCCTTACCCTGCAAAATCCTGACAAATCCCGAGCCTCGCTTGACTACAAATGAAAAATGTCATTATCATTATTATTCCCCGGGGGTGGAGAGCCCACCCCCATCCGGATCCGAAAGATTCCCCCACTTTACCCGATCACTTTTCAGCCAAGCTCAACGGGCTCTCGCTGGACACGGATGCGATTGCGCTAGTGTACGAGGACGACGAGACCGACAGCTCCAGTGAGTTTTTTACAGGTAACGGACGGAAATGAACTAGGTTTGAAAACCAAATCGTATTGCTTTCACTTCCGGGTGCCTTTAAAGTTTAAAAACATCAGAAAACCTAGAAATTTCTGGAGATTAGGTTATTTCGTGACGCTGGTTAATGGGCGGCCGTTTTCCCTCCTATCTACCAATTTTTAGAGCTATTGTTGCCTTGCTCGGCCCTTTAAAGAAGCGCGCTTTTGCCTTATCGGTTCCTTTAAAGCACGGCTTGGCTATGGATTTACTATAAATTAGCCGCGACGCGACACACGCAACGCCTCAGATGGAGCTCGTAACCGGTTACGCATTGAAATGACGGGCATGTGCTTTGCGTTGCGTGTGCGTTAATCGGTAGCGAACCAAATCCATAGCTTTGCCGTGCCGCGACCTTAAATTTGCATACCAAACACACTAAACTTTCCCTAGATTCCCTTCCCTCCTTATTACACACCCTATTTTGCACACCCAGTATCTCGTTCACGCCAGAAAAATCACTCGCAGATTACACCTTTTTCACGTAAAAGTGAAAATCCCACGCTGCTGCTCCTCCTCCTTCCCGCTTCCTCGTGCTCCTGCTCTAGTCTTGCCTGCCTCGCTCGCCTTGAGTCAGGCTTGAAAACGAAAACGCCCCGCAGAGCAGCAAGACCAAACAGGGCTGAAAGACACACATCACTTTCGCGACAATTTCCAATCAGCTGTGTGTGCGTGTCGCTCGGCCGATTTGTCATTCCGCTCTATACAAAGCAACATGAAGCTCGGAACCTTGTATTCCATTTTTCCGCAGTTATTTCGAGGTGAGCAGCAGGTTTTTGTCCCTGTAGATACCTCAAAAATAGATAAATTCTCGGGTTTGTCGGCATTTTTCGATAAGATCGATTTTGTCGTGAACTTCCGGTTTTTTTTCTTTTAAAAATCGTTATAGTGTGTTCGCTTTAATGAGTAGTAAACCCGTTTTATTGGCTAGTGTAACCTTGATTTATCGGATTTTCAGGGCTTTTTAGATGATTGGGGAAATACAGAAATTTGGCTGTAATTCAGTTTTTCTAGAATTTTCTCGGAATTTGCGGGCAAAAAGCGGTATTTTTTATTTTTTTTTTAATTCGTAGTTGCCTATCTTTATTCCCTTTACATTACTTAGATTTCTACAATTTTTAAGGCATAGAACTCGTTCTCCATGTCCTCCTCCTCCTCCACTAAAAATTCCGACCATCCCGGCCGGCTAATCGAATCAACCGGCCTGTAAACCTAGGCTTCTTCCCCCCCCCTTGCCCCCTACCCGCTTCTCCTCACTCACCATCCCCCCGTCCAACAATAGCTTTTGTGAGGGTGTATGTCTGGGTATGCGAGCAGGGGAAAGAACGCGAGATACAACCTAGCCTCAAAACTCGCGACGCGACCCGGTCCACCTCATTTTTTTTCAGCGCGTGACGGCAGCACATCGCGCGAAAGTTCGGAGGAGCCGAAGACGTCGGACGCCGATTCTGAAAATACATCGGAGGCCGATTTGATGGAATACGCGCCAATGTTGCAGGACCTGGAGGCTGTGTGCACTATTGGTGGGTTGATGGGGATACCTTTTAAGAATATATAAAGGCTGCGGAGCGTTGCGTTACTCTAAAAAATTTATTGAGCTACGCGACGTTATACGCGACGAGGCCGCACGCGTCTAAAGTCACGTTACTGACCAAAACACTGAAAACTAGCTTTTTTAACTTCACTTAAAATTTTTGAACGCTTTATTAAATTGAAAAATTTACTTGAAAATTTTCTGTAGAACAAATAATTTGAAAAACCCACGCCATGCATTCAATCTCATGCTGAAAACGTTATTAAAAACATCCATTCTAAAAATATTTTCACAAACATCATGCCAAACATCTTCAAAATTCTAACTCGGCTACATAGTCGGCCAATTTCACCAAATCCTCAAGCTGACCTGCACCACCCCAAAAATAGCCCCACATGCTTTTAGCGAAATTAAAATCCTCACTTGCCGGGTGGCACCACCAAATCCGAGAGGGGGAGACGGAAATAACCGGGAGAATTTGTGGCCTGGGGGCCCCGGATTTGTCCGGAAAGCTCCACCGGACGGGGGAAAACAGTTACGGTAGCCGTCTGGTCAGCTCTTTCAGACGCCAAAGGCGCGTAAACATTTCGCCTCCTTGAGCTGGAGGTAAAAGAAAGGGTTGCGCAGTAGGGTGCAAAAAGCACAGACACGTTCGAACTCGGGGAAACCCTAGGAAAAACGACAATATTTTGTCAAATTTTGTGGGGTTTCAGCAATTACGAAAGCTGAACTTGACCAGAAGATTCGAGTTAGGCTTCAGATTTTACGTAGAAAATCATGAAATTACATAGCGCATAATTCTTAAGATCATTTGATCTGAATGATTACCATTTTGAAAAGGTCTGCGCTGAATGTGACGAAATTTTTTGGTTTGATGCGATCATAACCTGGCGTACCTGTTTACAAGCCCGAGAAAATTGTATAGTTTGTTTTTGTGGATTGGTATCAAGCGTCGATGTGTAAAAGCCAATTTTTGGGCACAACGCGCTACGACTCAGGAAAAAAAAACCAGACGGCGCGATCTCCGATCAGCTATCAGCCAGGAACTCCCATTTGTCACCTTTTTCGCCGGGAAATCCGTGTGATTTGCGGCCCCGGGGCGGCCAGTTGGCTATGTGAGGAAAGCCACGCATTTTAGCGGGTAGAAAGCTGGGGTGGGACCAAGAATTCGGTCGAAAACCCCTTAAAAAATTTTAATTCGGAGAACAAGGCGTTTTTGAAGCTTTCTTAGCTTCTAGACTTGAAAGCTATTAATACCGTGTTAGCTTACCTTTAAAGCCATTTCCCAAGCCCTTAAGACACCCAGACCTTTCAAGATAATTTTAAAACACCTAGCTACCTTTAAGATGCCTCTAGGACACCCATATACCTGGAAGAAACGTTAAGACCTTTAAGACCTTTAAGACGTTCATACCTTGAAGATAGCTTTAAAACACCCAGACAACCTGCAAGCCAGTTTTAACACAACTAGATACCTTTATACCGGCAAAAACGACTAAATACCTTTAAGATACCTTGATACCTCTACGTTGAAAATCCTCAGTATTCCCCCACCGCAACGTCAACAAACCGTTTGCGATCAGTAGCACACCACGCCACCTAACCTAAAAAAGCCGCCTCCTCAAGTGGCGTCATTTTTTGGGCTCAGCTTTTGTCGCCCTCTCCCCATTTCTATTTCACGCCCAACGGGGGGTCCCCCGGACTGTTGCGTGCGTCATACCGTATTTGAGAATTCTCAAAGCGGTAGAGGGGGACCGTTTTTTCCGGGGGTCCTCCGCTGATCCCATGGGGGCGCATTGATTAGGAAACAGGAGGGGGATTTCCGCTTTTCAGGGGTACAGGCTATAGTCGACACCTGTGGGGCAGAAGCCTGTGGGCATGAGCTCACATCTGGCCCTTGGGGCCCTCGTATAATTCGAAACAAATGCATGGGCCACTGCTGGGGCACCCGGCTGGGCGGCTCGACACGTGTTGAAGTCGGAGAGCTTGGGATTATGTGAATTTTTCTGGGGCTAAAAATAGTAGGCAAAGCTGGATGGAGCATGTATTTTTAAACACAACCCAGATGGCTAATGCTCCTTTGCAGCCCCGAAAAAGTCTGAAAAGCGACATGGACTTTGAAGACAACGTTAAAGGGACTGGGAAGCGATAAAATCGACCCCTTCTAACCACTCGCTAGGGCCCGTCAAATGCTTTCCCAGACAGGAAAAATTTTAGAGATCCATTTGAGTAGTAATTTTTGTCAAAACTTAGTTGATTCTCTGCTCTTTGTGATGTCTCGCCCAACTTTATAGACCTAGTCAACTAGAGGGGTAGATTTTAGTGCTTCCTAGTCACTTTAAAAGAGAGGGTACAGGTTGGCTTTGGCTTTCCAATTCAAAGAACTTCGCCGCATCCGCCAATTGAAGGCGTAGGGGGATTTCGACCTCTTCAAGAGGAAGATTCGCAGATGCGCATCGCGTTTGCGTATCTGCGAAAGTCCATACCCATACCCTCCAAGTTCCTTTACAAAAAGAGTGTCGAGCCTTGATTTTCTCCGAAGGAGGTAAAACCTCGATCCGATCAAAATTCCAAACAAAGTCTACTATTTGCTCACATGAACGCACAACGCACAACTTGGCCAGGTTCCATTTCTCCACTCGTAGCGCAAAACACGAGTCCCCTTGATCCACAAATCTTGTTTTTCCAAACCACGGATATAGGGTATTGCGGGGATGAGTAGAGGGATGAGTAGATGGATACCTCGGAACCCTCAAGACCCCCAGCCGCGACCCTGCTGGGTCCATTGGATAAACAGTGGAGTGGATGTGAAGGGGGAAAGGGTGAGCACATGTCTTCTTGAGGTTGGGGGCCCTGCCGGACAAAAAAACCAGAGGGGTGAAAAGCCCTCGAGTAGGCGCGCTGGAGCCGTGTATGTGTGACCTTTACGACGCGGGCGATCATCGGGCTTTTGTGTTGCCGCCGATCGGTGGTGGTGTGGTTACTCACCTCGTTTTGAAAACGTGAAAAGTGAGGAAATGGATTTCTTAAGAAAATTGGGAGTGACTAAACTTAAAAGCGGCTGAAAAATGAACATACGAGACAGGAAAACGCACTAATGAAAGAGTAGAAAAGCGTATGAGAGTGAGAGAGAGAGAGAGAGAGAGAGAGAGAGAGAGGAGAGGGGAGGAGAGGGGGGGGGGGAGGAGGGAGAAAAGAGCGTGAGAGAGATGGAATCTAAAAATTATTTTCATGTTTTCAGGCACCGGCACCTTTGGACGAGTCCAACTCACCCGTCACCGAGAAACCAAGAAGCACTACGCCCTGAAAGTGCTGAATATGCATAAGGTAAGCTAGATACGTTTTGGCCTTAAAAACGATATTTTAGCTCGTCACGACCCGTCAGGTCGAGCACGTTCACAACGAAAAGCACATTCTCAATTTGATCCAGCACCCGTTCATTGTAAATTTGTAAGTTTTACTGTAGATCAAAAGGCTTTAAAAGGTACCCCAAGACGAAACCTAAGCTGATTGATAACTAGAAGATGTCTAGAGTTGTTTTCCGGATTCCAGACCACCTTATCAGCCCCAAAATCTTAACCTGACCCCATAAAACTACTGTACCTTGCGTCCCAAGGTGCCAATCCTGTTTTTTGGGCCACTGGGCAGCTGGCCCCGGGGCCCCCGGTTCCACTTAATGATTTCCAGCAAATGGACACATGACCCGGGGCAGGGAATTTTTGATCCGTTCCGGGGACTGGAACGGAATGGAAAATCGAAAATTTTACAAAAAACAGTGAGAAAATCGATAAATTAAAATTGCAGTGTTTTTCCAGGCATGCCACCGAACGGGATGAGCGCAACCTGTACATGATTATGGAATTCGTGCCTGGGGGTGAATTGTTTAGGTAAGTAAACTTACATTAACGATACCACTTAAGTGTTAATAATTTTTTCAAGTATACTGCAAGATTACTCTATTTTAAAATCATTTACATTCACCGAAAAATATTATTTTAGCTATCTCCGAGCCGCTCGCCGCTTTTCCCTCCCCATGGCCACCTTCTACGCGGCCGAAATCACCTCAGCCCTCTCATTTTTACATTCCAAAAATATTGTAAGTAATTTTATAACTATTATTAAATGTTGATTATATAATATATACATTAAATATTTTTTATTATAGGTATACCGGGACTTGAAGCCGGAAAACTTGATGCTGACGAAGGAGGGGCACATCAAGATGGCCGATTTCGGGTTCGCCAAGGAGCTGCGGGATCGGTTGGTTTTTATAGAAGGCAGTGTTTTTACAATTTTACCGTATTTTAAACAATAATAGGTTTTGTGATATCTTAAAGCTTAGAAAATAAAAATTTGGGGGAAAGGGGGGGGGGTGGGGGGTAATTTTATTTTGGGGGGGGTGGGGGTTGGCATAATTCCTCAAAAAGCTCGAAAATTCGACTATTTGGTTCGCTGAAGCCCAAAAAAATTCAGATCGCCCAGTCCGGGACATGACCAAATCGTTACGAACCGGTAATTGAGACGATAACTCGCTCGATTCTGGCCAGATACAACCTCTCAAAACCCCCAAAAACGTTAATTTGGCCAGCATCGATACCTAGCCATTGTTCTCTCTAATTGTTTGGGAGCTCTCTAATGCTTATATCCTATTTTAAGTGATGATGGATGAATTTTTGTACTTTCGATTTTAACTTATTAACCATATGATTTCAGCACCTACACGCTTTGCGGGACTCCAGAATATTTGGCGCCAGAATCGGTCGCAAAGAAGGGGCACAATAAGGCCGTGGATTGGTGGGCGTTAGGTAAGTGGGTTTAAGCTTCGGCTTAGGCTTGTCTCAGGCTTAGCTTTGGCTTAGCATGGGCTTAGCTTAGGTTTAGGCTGAGGCTTAGTTTCAGCTTAGGCTTAGGATTAGCTTAGGCATATGCTTAGGCTTAAGCTAAGGTTTAAGCTTATGCTTAGGTATTATAATCGAAATATCAGGATTACCATTACTTTCCAGGCATCCTCATCTACGAAATGCTCGTCGGCAAGCCACCATTCGTCGGCAAATGCGCCCAGCAGATCTACGCCGCAATCCTGGAGCACAACCTCAAATTCCCCAGGAGCTTCGACCTCGTCGCAAAGTGAGTCGCTTCTTGCGGTGCTCAAATTCCGGTTCAGGGACCTCGTCCGGAAGCTCCTTGAAGAGGACCGAACCCGGCGGCTGGGTTGTATGAAGGGGGGAGCTGAAGACGTGATGGGCCATCGGTTCTTCTCCCATATTAACTGGGATGATGTGGAGACGATGCGGCTGACGGTATGTTTGTTAATAACGCGAAAATAAATATACCGATCACAAACATGAAGCATTCATGATAGGCTATAAATGCTGTTTTGAAGCCATTTTAAAGGTACAGACAAGGCAAAACCATAGAGTTTTCTCTGTGGGTTTCCCATGAGCTTGTCCGCGTCGTGACATGCGGCGTGAGCGTCACCGGAATTCAATTGCGTACTTCGATGCCTCTCTATTGCGGCCAGCGTTGCGTGTCGCGGCAGCAAAAAGGATACGCACCCACAACCAGTAGAATTTATAGTAATTTCTTGCACGATCTTTTAAAGTTTAAAGTTTTTTGGCCGTTCCATCGTAGACTTACACGTTTCTTTAAATGAAAAATGTCATCAAATCGCACAAAAAGGCATTAATATTCCAATATTTCAGCCTCCCATCGTCCCCACCCTCTACCACGCCGGCGACACGGGCAACTTCGACTCGTACGAAGAAAACACCGACCCCGGACCCGTCGGCACCAAAGAAGAGCTCAAACTCTTCGAGAACTGGTAACCCCTGATCCCTAATTGTCATTTCTGTGATTGTACCTACACCCTGATATGTATTGCGCGCTCAAATTCTGAGCGGCCCACCCCGTTGAAATTCTTGTCATTGCTATCCAGTGCCCCCGGCTACCGTACCCCGCCAGCCAGATTAGCGCAACTCTTGTCCAGCATCGGAACGAGTATACCCCCGGAATATTTGCCAGGCTGCTACGGTGAATTCTCAAATTTTGGAGAATTTATCTTTATTACCCCTTCCTTCTATGCAGCGGGTGTGTTCCGTCCTCCCCGTGAGGAAATATTCATTGATTTTGTATAACTTACTTTCATTTTTCTTTTCAGTTTTTTTTATTGCAATATAGTGTGTCTTTAAAGTAGCGGGGTTTTGGTAAATTGAAAAATAAGCTCATTAATGCTTAAAAAGACTTTTCAATTATCAAAATTCAGAAAAACCCCAGAGCTCCCTGATCTCATCAAATTTCACTGTCCCTACCCGGCTTCCGAAATGTGCTATCCTACCAAATCCTGTCCGGTTTCGCCCCCGTTTTTTTCCTTCCAGTAAAACGTACATTCGCGATGACTAGACACTGATTCCGATGGTATGATTATTCTTAAGTTTTGGTTTATATATTGCATAATTTCATTGAGCGTCATGGTTTCGGCGCATAATATATACATTGTCGATTCCGTGTACTGTAGAATAAACAATGTATGAAGAAAGTGGTACGCCTCTAAAATCACATGCGAATTACCAAATAACACGAAATGTGTCAAAATTCAAAGCACATTGTATCAGAAAAACATAAAAAAAAACGAGGAAGGGCAATTTGTTTCATATCGAAGTTCGTCGTTTGTAAGAATTTTGCAAAAAAAATTGGATGCAGATCATGAAATAAAGATGGTATAGTATCTCACTACGAAAATGCAAAAATTTTATTGCTTTTGGAAATTAGTGGAAAATATGGCTTGAAATGCTCCTCGAATTAACATATGTCTAACTGTTGAAGCTTTTCTTCAGCTTAAGTCTAAGCCAATGCCTTAAGTTTCTTGCGAAGACAGCTTTACATTTTTTAACTTTCGAAAACTTTGACATTTTTGCGTTTTTGGTGATTGCAAACCCAATTCAATTGTCTTAATTTTTGAAGCTTCCCCACCCAAAGAACACAAGAAATCGGTTACACCGACATTTCAATGGAGCAGAAAACAGAAATTGCGGGCCGGGTTCAAAAGATGAATACCAAATTAGGGGGCCTGAATGCGAACAAAAGCTCGGTTACTAGGCGATTGGCGAACAATGGTTGGATCGGAAGCCGCAATGGGGGTGGAGCTTTTCGACGATTCCCGAACAGCTGTCTGACGGTTCAGAAGGTGTTTGTGCGGTTTTTTGCCCGCTATTTAAGGTGATTTTAGTGCTGGCGTCGTCACCAAGCAGTTCACGCTTGTTCCTTTTGCATAATTTTGTCAAGCCGCCTCCCTTTGAATAACCTCGTAAATCCGCGAAAACTCTATTAATCGCAAGCAATACTCGTAGCCTTGAATGACACTTTGCTAGATATCTTTTCAGCATTCTAGGTCACAATGGGCGAGGCCAACGTCTTCAACACGTTCTCCTTCAACAAATGGGCCGAGCAGAAGAAGGAGGAGGAGATTGACAAGGAGACCAAGCGAAGGAGACATGAACAGGTCCTGAACACTAAGAGTCCAATGTTATACCGGCATTTCAGATCAAGCGTCTGAAGGAGAAGCTTCGAAAAGAACGAGCGCTGCGCGAGGCCGGGATGGGTGACGGCGATTTTGACTTGGAGCTGCTGATCCAGGCAATTCAGAATGGGCAGTATGAAGATGTTGAAGAGACTCATACCACGACGGAGGAGAATTGTGGGTTTTAAAGGGCACGTTCAAGGACTTTTTTTGGAAAAAAGTAAAGTTTTTTGCTGCGGCCGGGGGTCGAACCCGGGCCCCCCGCTCGGGAGGCGCGGATGGATACCAGTCAGCCACAGCTACAGCCTGGCAAGGGGTCGAGGGGCGCCCCACGCCACAAAGGAGGGGATTGGCCTGTCACAGCACGGGCAGGCAGCGCGCGCGGTCCCTACGTCCATAGGGTGTACACGTTGAGACGAGTACACGGCCCCTCCCTGAACGTGCGCTTTAAAGGAGCGGTCAAGGCAAAGCTATGGATTCGGTTGGATGGATTGCTTATAGATAGGCTTGGGCTTGGCTTGGGCTTAGGTTTTCATAGTAGCATCGAAGGTCATTCTTATTCAGCTACCGAAGAGCGACCGATGACTGCAGCCGCATTCCGTGGCGATCCGACCAGCGATGACTATATTTTATCAGAGGTATTAATTTTTTCGTTTTGTTTTATTGTTCTTGTAGGTCCTACGATACACTCACGATCATCCGGACGGCGGAAATTATCGGAAAGCCGACCGTCCATTAACTGCTAATCGAGATACAGGTTTGAAAACTGCAGAAGTCTCTCAAAAACCACTTAGAAATCGACAAATTCAACTACAACCGTCGGCTGGCCGAGCTGTTGGATAAGGACAAGGTATAGCTGATCGAGTTCGTAAAATTGAAGTCAATTTAGCTTGAAAACGAGAAAATCCGGCCTAAGACTCCACCGCGAGCTCGCACTCCCTCTCGGCCAAGAACTCGAGATTATCAAAGACCGCCAAGCAGGCGACCACCCTCCAGCGATTCCTTCAAGTATAATCGGAAGATGAGCGAGATTGTTATATAAAGAAGAATTTAATAAAGTACAACATAGGAAAATAAATAACGTACGATCGGCAAGAACCAAGTAGCATATCGTTCATTTCTTAACTGAAACAATATAATTTTTGCTTGTTACGTTACTAATTCAAAAAAGGCAATTGGTACCCTCATCTCGCGGTGAAAACGGAAATTTTATCCCTAGAAAAGCTACAGTCGTTAAAAACATTATATACGAACAATGAACGTCATTATTATATATGAACGAACAAAATTCCGATTTCGCTTCCCCCTTTCTCTCTCTCTCTCTCTCTGTCTCTCTCTCTCTCTCTCTCTCTCTCTATCTCTCTCCTCGTAATATCATCTGTTATACCATCATCTTGCCTCTGATGCTATTCTTCGACAGGTTTATGCGCGATTCGATAAGTGCGCCTCGCCACCAACAGCCGGTCAACCCTTGACCATATGCATTATCGACTTCGCTGCAGGGCCGGTGCCTCGGGGGACAAAATTATGGGGGATGGTTGTTTGGCGAGATATAATCGATTTCTTTGAAGTTGATCCGTGGATCACTATGATATCACCTAAAAACTACGTGTTTGGTTATGGGTATTCGCCTATGTGCAGAGCGTCATAGCTCCAAGTTTTCTTGGTTTTTCTATCGAGTTCGATCCGTGTTCATCTAGATATTTTTGAATTCCGTCCTGGTTGACACAGCTTATCGAACAACCGTTAAAGCGCACGTTCCGAGAGGGGCGTATACTCTGTCCAACGTATACACCCTATGAACGTAGGGACCGCGCGCACTGCCTGCCCGTGCCGTGACAATTCCCTCCTTTCCTGGGTGGGGCGCCTCTCGCCACCAAGCCAGGTTGTAGCTGTGGCTGACTGGTATCCGTCCGCGCCTCCCGAGCGGGGAGGCCCGGGTTCGACTCCCGGACGCGGCAAAAATCTTTGCTTTTTTCCAAAAAAAAACATCCCTGAACGTGCCCTTTAAATATGTTGCTGTACTCTTCCTAAATTTTTCTCGTGGACCCGGCCCATCGAATACTTCTAATTTTCTAAAATCAGCCCAAAATTTCTGTAGAACGAGGTAACAATGACAATTTGTTCCTGTTAACGCTTCAAAATTATTGCTATCCACAGAATTGAACACCTTTTTATATAGATTTTTTTTTCTTCCTCATTCCTATGGTCTCCTCAATAGAAAAAAGCCAAAACTATACACTTGAAAACGACTCGAACGATTCGAAGCGAATGTCATAAAATTCTTAATCCTCGATTCCATCTCCCGGGTGTAATCTGTCGGTATGTATCCCTTTGCCTCCGCGCCGCTACTTCGACCGAAAATTTTTTTAATTGGGGTCGGAAGAAGCCAGGGCTGGGGGGCGGAAGCGCGCGATTCGAGGCTGGTGGTCTGGTTGAACGGAGTGACCGCAACCAGAGAGCCTGCGAACACCAGAGGGGCAGAAGACACAGAGGGGCGAGAGAGCACTTGAGAGCACGAGACACAGACACGAAAAGCGAACAAACCGATGGACAGACAGACTGCACTTGCACGAACAGGAGAGAGAGAGAGAGAGAGAGAGAGAGAGCGCGCCAGGCGGCCAGTCAGCACGAAAAGACGCCAACACCAGGGGGCCGGAGTCCATGTGGCTCCGGGCGATGCTGCTGCGACCCCAAAAAAGGAGCCCCAATTTGAATCGCCTCCACCCGCCTTGGGTTCACTGCCTCCGATCTCCCTACCCTACCCCACTACGCTTCGCCTCATCCATCCCTCACTCAGCTGCGAGGGAATGGATTGTTTTTTGAGGGTTCTCATGTTTTCGGCCATTTTTGAACGCGAACCCTTTTTACTTTTGAACATGGCGTGGACAATTTACGGCAGAAATGTACCTTAAGAAAAATGTCTGCTAGCTAAGATTTTTTTGGTGGCATTTTTTGTTCTTTCAATCGTATCGTATAGGCCGAAAAAAGAGGAACTATCAAAGTATTTAAATATATAAAGAATTTTTGAAATAGCTACTGCTTATTCGCAGGACAAACCACTTGTTTTTCGTGAATTCTTTAGGGGTAACGTGATTCTAATCCAACTTTAATTACTTCACCTTCACCAACCACTTTCTAGTTTTCCACCTGTTGATAAAATATAATGTAATTTGATAGCGTTTTTAGCAGATTTTGTTTGCTAGAAAGTTAATAAAAATGTTGCTATTGAAATTACAAAATTATAAAATTTTGACCTTTTTTGGGGACAAAGTCAAGAACTTTCGAAAATTTTTGTTATGTTTC